TTGCGCTTGTTGATGGACTGGGGGCCTGAGAACCATAACTCGAGCAGCTCGCAGCTCACGCGGTTGTCACCTCTTGCGAGGACTTCGGCCCCATCAAACTTCAAAATATGGCCGGGTCCCGTCGAGTGAGCTGTAACCTGGAAATTGGCGTCTTTCTTCCTCACCGCCGCTGCATTTTCGGCCATTCGCGTCCAGAGTAATCTTCCGGTTTCTCCGACGTAGTTGCTTTGTCCACAACTGCCCCAGATCCGGCAAACGACTCCAGCTGTTTCCTGCGTGGCAGCGGGTCTTTCGGTCTCATGTTCGTTTGTATTGGCTCTGATCGGTCCGACGAGGGGAAACGTTTACCCTTTGTGTGAGGCCTCAACCTAGAGGCGGAGATCCGGTTTCTGCACAGGTGTCTTGACAAAAGCGTGTTGCCCAAGTATGTCAAGTAGAATAAAATTATTGTCCCAGCTATCACATCTACTTCTACACAAATATTATCGTTTAGTTCTAAGCCACGCTGACACGCACATAGTGCTAAGATTATCGGTTAATCCCCGAAGGTAGGGGAAGAGGGGGATAAGAAGATAACGGAGCAAAATGGTTGCTCTCGACCACAATGTAGCCCCGGCTAACGAGTTTAATGCGCTTCGGCACGGTGACCTTGCGAAACGTAGCCAATCAAACTGCACCAGTTCACTGATTGGCTACAGGCGGCCGAGGACCCACGCCCTGGGAGCAAACCTCAACGCAGACACAGGCACACGCACGCCCGGACTGACAGCTCATTAACTGAGCGGAGGTTCGTCAATCTAAACAATCTTTTTTCTGTGAGTGGCTCGCAAGTTACCTGAAATGCTCGTAGATGGAGCTGCTCGTCACCCGAGGAGGCTCCACTGTATCATCACTCAGTCGCGCTGACAAGGACTTATATGCAGCCATCCTTATCAGTTCATCCGCTGGAGTTAAAAGCTTCAAGGACTGGCATGAAGGGGACAGAGGGGAGGGGGGATAAGAAGATAACAGGGCGGAGTGGTTGGTTGGTTTCGACTACCCATGTGGCATGATGCTGAAAATAGCACACGAGGGCAAGCACAGGCTGGCGAGAGTCGGTTGACGCACTGATCTTATCAACCGCTAAAACTAGCATGAAAATACACAAAACGGAAGGCTTAATTGGCAGTCGGGCGGACACGAAGACGACAGAAACACACGAGAAGCAGCAGCAGCAGCAGCAGCAGTTCCCCAGGGGGAAGTGGCGGCAGCA